TACGCCTCGTAATTATGTGGACTCTAAAACACAAAGACTTTTGGACTGAAAATTTTTAAAGGACTCTAAAATATTATCAGAGTTTATATTTTGCAATTATGTAAATAATTTTTTTGGTCAAAATTTCAGGATTTATATTTTTCAAATTATTTCTCTTCATTGGCTAATGCTTTAGAGCTTTCTCTCTCACCTAGCCCTTTTCTTCTTAACGGAGGGCAATATGCAAAATATAAAATTTAATTTTCAAATAATAAATTAATAGCTCTTTAACTTTTGTTTCATTCTAAAAATAACAGCAATAAATATTTCTCCCTGCAGTTCTGATGTGCACTTACCAATGAAATCTGAACCCAAAATCCTGTACATTAAACTGTCATGTGATTTGAAATGGAATTCGTATAAAAGGTCAATTGCATCGCAACTTCCGTCTCTTCCCTTTGTATCGCTGCTTTGCATTTCTGCTAGCTTTGTAGAGTTTACCTTTTTTAATTTAACCCATTCTTTAAGAAATGTGAGCTGTACACGATTGGGAGGAGCAAAGTGCACCCACAGTCATAATGTGCATTATAAAAATATAATTATGCATGGAATTTACCATTATGGGTGTATATCTGTTATACATTTAGAAAACTAAAAGGCGTACCGTAATTTCCGGAAGAAAGGCCGTATCAGCATAAACGCCGCACTCGAGAAAAATGGCGGGAAAAAAATTAAAATTACACAGGAACGCCGCAATAGATTAAATTGCACATGACATCGTCGTGGGCCGTATAGATGCAAAATCTCAACCTAAGTCCTGATATATGACATACCAGTTAAGAAAAATGCATGAAATGAAACCATAACTCAAAAATAAATTAAAAGTAAGAAATGTGGAAAGTATATTTACTTTACATATATATACTTATATTACCCACTAAAGAAGTCCATATTTGTAATACTCAGACTATATTATAAAAAATGTTGCAACAACGAAATATTAACTTTGGATGAAAAAAGGAAATTTTAAATTTTACTTACAAAAGGAATTACAGCAAACTATACATCATATGAAGCCATCAAAATCTTATTCTTCACTATCTGAATTAAAAAGATTTAGTAAATCCTGATCCAAGTCCAAGTCTTCCAGATCGTCACATTCATCCTCTTGGTTTACAGTCTCTTTATCTAAGGATATAATTTCAGCTTCTTTGAACCCTGCTATTATTGACGATGTTTTTACCGATTTCCACGCACTTCCTACCCACTTTGCAACTTCTTCATAAGATGCTCTACGCATTTTATCGCTTTTGGTATACGTATGCAATCCTTCACTCATACAACACTCCACCAAGCCTTTCGGACTTCAGCTTTGAAGGATTTATTACAAGATAAATCTAACAGTTGTAAGATTTTTGTCAAACCATCAGGAATTATTGCTTCGGTCGTAGACAATTTTTGACATCTGGTTTTCACTGACTCAAGTAAATGAGCACGCATCGAATCTATTATCAATAACCCTTTTGGTTGGAAAAAAGATCCCATACGACACTACCAAACTTTTTGTAGCCACTCATGCATGATTGGTTCAAACATCCAGCCATTCTTGTTTGCACAAATAATTATGTCATTAGGAAAATCTGCCTTTGGAATAGTCTTTCGTTTAAAAATTATCATCGGCTTTAGCTTGTCACCATTTGCGGTACATGCTAACACACATGTAAATGACATTTTTTCATGCCCCGTTGTAAGCACAGATACAGTTTTTGCACCAGTTTCATCAACAGTTCTGTTTGCAGGAGAGTCGAAAGCTAACGGCGTTTCATCCATATTTATTATCTGTGAACGAAAAAGTGTTTTTTGGTCAATAATATCTGTCACATATTTTAGAAAAGTTGCCTTTTTATCCTGCCAGTCCATTGGTAATTGTTGCCCGACTGTTGTTCTAGTAGGCACAGAAATATTTTTTCTTTTCATAAATCTGCTACACCTCCTTTGAAATCATTTATATTCATTCGTTTTGCTATAAATTTTGCTTGTAAGCGAATTTTTACAGTCGAAATTGCCATTCCCTTTCCTCGTTGCTCCTTTATTCCAGTTTTCAAGGTCGTCCTCTAGATTCGGCCACCTTACAGTACCACTTCTTTTGGCTCGTTTCTGTTGTGGCATATTTTTAAGAAGTTCTTTTTCAGTTCTCCAATGTCGAATACATCTCTCGTCCACTTCAAACTCTCGAGCTGCTGCTCGTTTTCCAATTTGCTCAGCATGTGAAATTACATTAAGCTTAAAACCAGCAGTATAGCTTCTGTGCCGTTTAGGTGACATTTTCAAAAATTTTCCACTCCCTTCTTACTTAAAAACTATCCAACAAGTACTTGCACCCAAACTGATGGGATCTGTATCTGGCAGAATGCCAAGAAAATTCGATTCATGCTGAAGAAGAAATACGTCCAGAGTTCGTTATTGCGAATGGGCAGAGTGAGTCGTATCCCCTTTGAAAAAAGTTGCAGTAGAATTGCAATGGAAAAGGCAGGGGTGGGGAGAGGATGGGTCCTGGAAGATTCATCGAATGGCAGAGGAGTGAGAGACTATTCAAACTGATGAGAACGTTGATTTGAAAGGGGGAAGAATGTTATTGTTCTGAGATCTCCATTTAGGGTGAATAAAGGCATGGTATACGTTCAAGGGAAATAATGCAAACAAAATAACATTCGCAAAAAGCAACTGAGTGGTCTTTTGTGTGGGAACAGCACCAGTCTATGCAAATGACAAGGCCATCTAAACTATGTACAATGGCTAACATAGGAAATATTTTTAGTGCACCTAAACGCCGCATGGGTAGAAACGCCGCACCCTGTGAAAATTTAAGTTTTAAACACGTAAACGCTGTGGCGTTTCTTCTGGAAATTACGGTAATTGTATGTATTTTAAATGCAATTTTGCAGCTTTCATCTGAGAGATAAAAACTTATAAAAAAAAGGTGTGATGCCTGTCAAAGGGTTGAAGATGGAGATGTCCATACAAATTAAAAACAAAAGGCAATCATCAATAAGGCTGAACTTTCAGCACTTCTAAAACACCTCTGACTGCATTATCAGGAGCGGCATAATTTTCCATAAACCACAAAAATTTTGCAAGTTCTTTGGCTAGCATTCCCCATTCCCTCTTTCTCTCTTCTAAAATAAAGGAAGTTTCTAATTTTTAATTCCACACTGAAACAAAAATTAATGCCACTATACATCTGACAAAGACACAATGAAAGGAGGAAAAACAGGGTTTCCCCCCTAAGCTAGAAATAAAGTCATTTTATCAGAAATAGCATAAAACAGGCAGAAAAATTATATGGAATAGCAAGATAGAACTTTGCAAACAACCTAATACTTTTCAGACTTTATTAGCTGCAGTATTTCTGATCACTAATTTTTTGCTTTATGTGGCTATTCTTCATGTGTACTTTACTTGTATTTTTAATTCTTGATAGATCTCATGTCACTACCTTGTATCTTGTATAATTTATGCAGATCTTGCATAATTCATATTAGTAATATGTTACAATTCACATATACGAAGGTTGCTGTTTATAATTTCTGACCTTGGCAACAGTAAGTATTGCTAGGCAACGATAGACGATTCCAATTGAAAGTTTGATATTATTAATCATAGCTTTTTCAAAATGTTTTGCTATTGTAGCATGATTTGTCTTGTTTACACTGAATACAAAAATTCATTTCAGGCAAAAAAATGGAATTGCCTCATAAGCATTTTCATTACTTTCGACATGGATTATCAAAACAAGAGTGCTTTGATGAACTTAATTCTTTATAAAGCGATAAAGCACCACCCTACAGCACTGTAAACAACTAGTATAACAAATTCAAATGTGGTCGGTGTTCGCTCTAGGACGAATTCCGTGAAGATCGCCAATATAAGTTCTTGTCCCAGAAAATATCGATGCTATGTGTGAACTGATAAAGCAATATCGTCACGTGACATACCGTGAGATTGAGGCCTATTTGAGCATTAGTATGATAAGTATCAATAAGATATTGCATAAACATTTGGCCATAAAAAAGCTCTGTTCGCGTTGGATCCTGCATAATCTGACAAATACTCAAAAAATGGTTCGTGTCAATTGGTGCAAGGAAATGTTGGAAAAATACGTTCAAGATGCATCTACACAGGTGACGAATCATGGATCTATGCTTATGAGCCTGAAACAAAACAGCAGTCCACTATATGGGTCTTCCCAAGATGAGACAAATCCATCAAAAGTTATTCGTGGAAGAAGCACATCAAAGAAAATGGTTGCCTGTTTTCTCGGCACTATAGTTATGTGGCGACAGTCGCATTACAGCAACACAGCATTGTGAATTCTAAATTATACATAACCATTTGTTTGCCAGAAGTCATCGCAGACATGTGAAAAAAAGCAGAAGCGGCGAATCATTCTTCATCATGACAATGCAAGCTCTCACACATCAGCTCAAACAAAAGAATTTTTGAGAGGGCAAAACATCAAATTGATGGGTCGTCCGCCATACAGCCCTGATTTGGCACCCAATGACATTTTTTTTTTATTCCTGTAGATCAAAAATAAATTACATGGTCAGCAATTTGCGGCACCCATAGAAGCAGTTACCTCAATCAGAATGAAAAAAATACTACAAAAACTGGTTCAAACACATGCAAAAGTGTAGTAATCTCCATGGAGAATACTTTGAAAAACAATAAAACCAATTTTTATCATATTTTTTTTTTTTTTCCATTATTAGGCCAGAAATATAAATAGTAACCCTCATATATAGTTTTTAAATTTTACACAAATAGATGGTTACACAAAGCTGTAGAAACATTTGCTACTACTAAAAATTCATCACTCAAAGAAAAGTGTTACATTTGATATTCATTTAGAACATGGAAAAGTATCTTGCCAGTGTCTATGCCATGTTTTAATTAATATATAAGCATTACAAACTTTCTCCTAATTTTTCTTTTTATGTATATTTAAAATATGTAATGCCATTTTTAGAAGAAAAAATAATTACCAAAACCCAGCATAGTATGGTTCTCTTGGGACCTTCAAATAAAATGGCATGTTATAACCCTCAAAACCAATCCTTGGATATGAACATCGCTGCTTAGAGCCTTTATTCCCATGTCCATGGGTCATGCCACCATGCTGCCCTCTCGAACGGCCCTAAGAGGAATTCGAAGTAGCAAATTAAATATTTTAAATAATATAACACAATATTAGCAAATTAAGAAAACAACACTAGCTAGAAAATATTCATTCTTAAGCTCCATAATTTATTAAAACATTATAGTTTAAATAATTTCTTTCCAAAATTACCTATTCTCTTTGACAGTTAAATATTTAAATTTAATGGCTGCTAGATAAAAATCTGGCATACACAGTTTTTAAATCAAAAATCTCATGTCAATTATTTACTTTCCCTTAGTTCAAAAAAATCATATAATCAAAATCAGCATTTACAATGTTTTTTTTTTTTTTTTTTTTTTTTTTTTCAAAATATCTTTACTAACAAAGATTAATGACTCTGCTCAACTTTTCTACAACTTAAAATTTAAAGATGTAGATTATGCTCATAATTTATAATTGCAAAGTACCTAAAGACAATTTTTTCAGGAAAAATGTCTTTCAGAACATTTTGAGGAAAAACTGAAGCACATTTATACCACATAAGAAAAAAATCTGATGTGTACACCACAACTTCCTCGTACGGAATATTAAATTATACACATTTTTTCTTGCATTTCATTTAAACTTATTGGATTGAATTAAATTTACTTCGCCGACAGTGCATAAACGACAATAGAATAAATGCATTCCTTAAAATTCACTCTAGTATTTGTTTACCATAGCGACACTCTGGCGCTAGATTTGCTTAACAGTATTATATTTCGTTCATATTATAACTCATAATGCACAAAATTTATATCATTTAAAGAACAGAATTATCTAATCATTGCCACATGTTCTATTCAAATACTATAATAAAGCTAGAATGATGTATAAAAGAAATTAAGCAAACAAAACAAAAAAGAAACAGTTTTTCACAGACGATTGAGTATTTCTCATTCAAAAAACTCAAAATATCTATATTAAAAATTACAAAGTAAATTTTAAACACTTATTTCCCAAAAAAAATTCCGGAAAGGATTAAGCATAATTTAATTGGCAATAACAAATGAAGGCGTTATCTTTGTTGTTGTGAAGCTAAGTTTCTCTAGATTGGCAGCAAATCCACTAGTCTGCTGTTTCAAATGTAAACAAGCAATGGCCGCCATAAAAAAAAGGCTTAGCGGCACTTAAACAACTTTAAAATTGTTGATAATTCTAAAAATATTGCATACAGATTTACTAAAGGCATAAAAACCTTAACCAGAACATAAAAACAACATAATTCAATCATTTTTAAAGCAAAAAATGTACAATTTACAAACATATACGAGTAAAGAAACTGAGATTAATGACACGGGTAACAGAGTGGATATATATATAAATATATTTATATACGTTTGGTACAGCCGATTGCAACCAAAATACGAGGTGCACATCTACATGTTATAGCAGTCCTATATACAAAATTTCGATGTTCTGCGGCTACTCGTTTTTGAGTTATGTGAGATGCGTATGTACATACGTTCGTACAGACGCCACGAAAAATTCTCTTTAGAATTAATTTTAAAGCAGTTTTATTTTTTGGAGGAAACGAGTCTTTTATTCTGTCCTTACGTATAGATATCATACAAAAACATCGTTAAATTGCATTCGATAGCGGTCAAAATGGATATTTTCATTGAAATATGCTGCCTGAACCTTTTCGCGATTACAATACTTCCATAAAACTTCATACAAGGAAGTAAAAAGGTACTATTTCGTTTTGAGGTCCGTAAAAAAATTGCAGCAAAAATTTATGCGCAAAAGTGCCAAATCTAGCGTACACGCTGATTTCAAATTGCGTAAGCTTAGATAGTTCTATATTTCTTAAGACGCCATTGAAATACTAGTTTAATTTTTAAATCCTTTTTTAATACCACTGTGGATTTTTCAAAATTTTTCAAACAAAGGCATCATTCATTATAGAAATTTATGTTTGAACAACCTATGAGATGAAATAATGCTTTAGCTATAACTCGGTAGCCACTCAAGTTATGTTTAGCCTTTTTTTATATAAATTATAATAATGATCTGAAATAATCATTTACTCTTATGCTTCCATTCAGTTAGGTTTATCCTTTTTATATAAATTATAATAAAAAAGTATTACCATATTTAACGGCATATAAGACACACTTTTTTTCCTAAATTTGGTCTCAAAAAAGTTACCTGCATCTTATACGTGAAGGACACAGGTTAACTTTCAATACTGAATACAATTTTTAGCCTGGATAAAGGTCTCGACACACAACTTTTTCTACATCTGCCATAATTATTTTGTGCATGCGTAAAATAACTGTTGCCAAAAAGTGCCAAAGCTCGAAGCTGATGTCGAAGTTCGAACAGGTTCGACGGTCACATTACGTTCATGGAGCCTTTTCTTCTTTACATAGACTTTCTTTGACTCAGCCGACACACGTGTCGGTTTCAGTGCCACTCTGTATAAACGTGTCGATATCGGTGTTTAAAACTATTTGTTTATAAAAAATACCCTGGAAAATATGACTACAGGAAACAAGAGATTAAGCTATACAATTCTTTATAAACTAGGAGTGTTAAACTACGTTAAAGTGCATGGAAAATTGAGCAGCAGCAAGGCATTTCGGTCCACCACCAACCAAAAAAATGATACATACTTCGTGACTGCAGGAAGATCAACTGAAGACTGCTAAAAAACAAAAACATAACCTTCGATGCCCAGCTCCATCTTGGCCTGAACTTGAAAATGCCATAAAAATGTGGGTGATAGATAAGAGGATATCTGAGATAAGTGTTTCAACTAAAATGATAATCAATGATGCCAAAGGATTTGTAGAAAAACATGAGAATCAGAACTTTTCAGGGTCTGAGGGCTGGTGCTACGGGTTCATGAAAAGGCAAGGCTTATCAATGTGCACAAAACAACTATTGCACAGAAAATGCCAGCAGATTATGAAGAAAAAATACTAGCATTTCATAGGTTTGTTATAAATGCATGCAAGAAAACTTCTTTTGAGCTCGGTCAAATAGGAAATATGGATGAAATTCCACTCACATTTGATGTACCTTCCAACAAGACTGTGAGTATTAATAGGTCTAAATCAATAACCATAAAAACCACAGGTCATGAAATAAACCGATATACTGTAGTTCTAACATGTTGTGCTGATGGCGCAAAACTACCGCCGTTTTTCATATTCAAAAGAAAAACTTCCAACGGGTGTAATTGTTTATGTTCATCCGAAAGGCTGGATGGACGAAGCTGGAATGAAACTGTGGTTACAGAACGTATGGGCGAGGCGACCTGGTGGACTCTCAAGAAAACCCTCTCCTTTGGTTTTGGATTAGTTTAGCGCCCATAGAACTGAAACCATAAAGAAAAAAGGCGAGAGAATTAAAAACCCAGACATCTGTCTTTCCTGGTGGAACGCCTAGCCAATTGCAGCCTTTAGATGTATCGGTGAATAAGCCATTTAAGGAAAACGTGCAAGAAAGATGGAACAAGTGGATAGGAGAGCCACATCACGCCCTCACACCCTCAGGCAGAATGAAACGGCCCTCTATTTCAAAAGTGTGCGAGTGGGTAAAAAGATCTTGGGAGGACATAAAGGCTGAAGTCCTTTAAGAAGTGCGGAATCAGTAATGCTCTTGATGGAACAGAAGACGTCGCATTATTCGAAGAAGGTAATATTAGCGATGACGATATTCTCGTTTTCGATGATGATGATAAAAAAAAGGATTTTTATGGTTTTGAAAGTGATTAAAGTCTAATTTCATGATAGGCAATGTTTTCCTTGAATCTGTGTTTTTTGTTGTTTCTGCTTTATTTTGTATTATGTTTGATTGCTTGCCGTTCATTCATTTATTCATTATTGAAATTTACATATTATGTTCAAAATAGCTTGCCGTTTGTCAATTTTCCTTAATAAAAATATGTTTCGTAATTGCATTCAATGGTTGTTTATTTGGCTTTTACGAAGCGTGAGAACTAGAAGAAACCACATTGTGGTACCGAGCTCTCGCACGGACTATTAAAAGTTTTTTTTCTCTTGTGTGTGGCTTTCTAAATAAGGATGCGTCTTATATGCCATCAAATACGGTATATGAAATTAACCTTTTATCTAAATTAAAACAATAATCTTAGATAGTTATTTACTATTATACTTCCTTTCTTGCATTACGGTTGGCGCAATTTTTTTGGCAGCACTGGCATCAAAAATAGTTTGGCGATTTTGTATGGTTCTGAAAACGGAATAGTACCGAAAAAATACCTCATGCAGTGAAATGTTTAGTCACAAGGAATGATGCGAATAAAATAACTATTAGCTTACATGTTAATGGATAAGAATTGATTAACTTTGGCAGTAATTTGACACATACTTTATTTTGGGTAGAAAATGTTTGGCAAGAAGTTCTAAAATAGCTTTCAAGGGTTTTTTTTATAAACTTTCTACTGCCATACCAACTCCGCCAAAGTGTGATTTTATGGGGTCTTGCCATATCCCTACGTTTCATATTCTGCCTTTTGAAGAACTGCATACCTGCTCAATGTTTCGTGAATGAACTCTACAGAACTGAATTTGTGTTTCCCTTCGAAAAGCTCAAGCCCAACTTTTTGGAATTATCTTTTATAAATAGCTAGAGTCTAAATAATTCTTTTTTTGATATTATCTTTGACTACATTTAACAGAGTCGCGGTTTCTCAGACAGTCACTGTCGTAAAAGAAAGGTTTCTTTAGACTCCTGGAAAAGACTGCCAAAAATCTTGTGTGGCAGGAGAATGCAGGCAATGGTATCTTTTTCTTTTTAACAGCAGGCTTTCAGCATCAATCTCTATGGTTAAGCTGTCACCACTTACCTTCTTATTTTCATGATTCTGCATTTCATAGACATATATTTCTCTCAAATATAGTAGTACTAGCTATGTTGAGTTCTTCCATGCGAATTTCATAGATGTCATTTCCCAGCAGCACATGAGTCTGATGGCAGTAACAAATGGCAATCTACTTGCTATAAACCAGTTGCTGACTGGTTTG